AATCCGTGGGGTGCTGTGCACCCAGGCGCCAATGCCGGAGGGGGTTCCTTGCTGGGGGAGAACCAGGCTCAGCAGCAGTGGGGTCTGCTGACCCCAGCAAGGGCCACCCCATAAGAGCCAGCGTGGGAAACTCCCTCCTCCGCCTCCCAGTGCTAATTAGGGCTGTCACCTCCTGCTAACGAACCTTTTCCCTCCCTCTCCTGGCTGGTGCCAAGCCCCAGGGGTTTCCAGCAGTGGAGCAAAGCCTGGCCGCTGCTTCCCAGGGGAACTGACGTGGGTGCCGAGATGGCACCTCATTATACAGCCTGGCACCCCCGGGAGCTCCTATCCCCCCTCACTCCTTTCTTACGCACTGATGGTGCCATGCTGAGCGACCTGCATCCTCCGGGGACGCTGCCGGTGACGGTGGTGGGACAGAAAGGAGCAGCTGGAGGGACAGCATCTGGCTCGCACCTCCTCTGGGGCCCAGAACCCACTGGCAGCCTTTGGGGTTTGCTTTGCCGATGGGATGGGGGGAACTGGTGTGGTGGCCCTGAACCCCCAGCCCCATGTACCCCAGCACCCAGGGACTGTGCGAGGGGAGAAGCAGCATCCTCCCTCCCCATCCACCCCAGCTCCGCTCCTGGCCCCAACATCCCACTTTCTGGGCCCAAAAATCATGATGGGAGGCAACTCGGCATCCGCCAAGCCCTTCGGCTGCATCGAGCCCATCCACCCCTCCCTCTCTCTCCTTTCCCAACCAGCCCTAATTAAACTGTCTGAAAGCCACCGCCTGGTTTTAATTAGAGTAAAACGCCAACAATTCCGCTGAAATCAGCCGGTGGTTGTTTACGGAGCCGGTGGCAGTTCGAGGCGGCAGCAGGATGGCAGCTCCTCACCGGGGCTAGGCGATGCCAGGAGGGCGATGGGGGGGCCACCACCAACCCCCCGCACAACGCACTGCCTCCAGCTTCCTACATTCCAATACTTAAAACCAGGAGACCCTTAGACGTCAGATTTTCCTTTGGATCCATAGGGATGGGGATGGATGAGGCCCCCGGTGGCAGTTCGAGGCGGCAGCAGGATGGCAGCTCCTCACCGGGGCTAGGCGATGCCAGGAGGGCGATGGGGGGGCCACCACCAACCCCCCGCACAACGCACTGCCTCCAGCTTCCTACATTCCAATACTTAAAACCAGGAGACCCTTAGACGTCAGATTTTCCTTTGGATCCATAGGGATGGGGATGGATGAGGCCCATCCAGCCCAGCGGGCTGGAAAAGGCGCTGGACCTGACCCGGGCTGTGAATAACATTCACCGGAG